GTCTGCTCTTACAGAGATCTCCCTGCAGGGGGAGAAGTACCTGGACCAGCAGATTGCCAACGCCATCAGTGGAGTGAAGGAGATGAAGACTGTGGTGCAGAAATCCTCAGAGGACCACCAGAAGTTTGTGGATGCCCTGGAGAAGACCAAGCAGAAGAAAGAGGTAGGCAACTCGGAATGGGAGCCCCGACGTTATAGAGATCGCACACAAGAGACCAAGGGAGGCGGCACCAGAACAGCAGTTTGACTGTTTGAATGCAGGAAGCCATGCGGGAGGCCCAGGAGATGGAGGCCAAGCTGGCGCAGGAGGAGGAGGTCTGCAACGACACCATGAAGGCCCTGTGGGAGGAGTGTAAGCCCTGCCTGAAGAACACCTGCGTCAAGTACTATTCCCGAACCTGCAGCAGTGGATCTGGACTGGTGGGACGTCAGGTAAGCACCCCCTCCAAGTTTCCTGCTCTGGTTCCTCCTCGTTGAGGTTTCCATTGGTTTCATTGTTCGTCCTGAAAAGCTCGACTTCCCGTGCCAAACGCTCCGGGGTCGGATCCTCTCTTTTCCGATCAACAGCTTGAGGACGTGCTGAACCGAACGTCACCCTTCTCCATCTGGATCAACGGGGAGAGGATCGACACTCTGGAGAAGGAGGGCCAGCGACAGAACACAGAGTTCAAGGACCTGGAGGACAAATACACCGAGATGTCCGAGGGAGTGGATAGCATCTTCTCCGACAGTATGAAGGTACGGCCGAGCACAAGAACAATCCGGTGGAGCAATAACAAAAGCTAAACATTCATGAAAAAAAGTCTGGTTAACAGGTTCATTGAGGCTACAAAGAAAAGATGCAACCTTCAGCCGCTGAAGATGCAGCTTTGATCTGGTTTCTTTCCCTTTTTTTCCAGGTGGCCCATCAGTTCCCTGAGATGAAACCCATGATGGTAATTCCAGATGCCATGTTTTGGAACTTCCCGTCCTTAAGCATCTACGACAGAGCCAGCCGCTCTCTCCACGATTCGTTCCACAACTTCCAGAACATGTTTCGCCCCATGCTGGGACTGGGCAGGAACTTCTTCGACTCCATGGGCATGGACAGCGACATCCCTCCAAGTCAGGGTATAATTTCCGATGGGGAAAAATGTAAAGATGTTTCCAGATCGTTTGACATATTGCAAGCTTTTTTGGTTTTTAACTGGTAGTCCTGGGTGGTTCAGCACCACAAAGGCTCTGATGGGTTCAGTGCCTGTTCGAGGCTTTACTGAAGCTGTTGTGGAATCAAAGCCCCTGTGTGTGCCCGCCCCGCAGATGGAGACGTGAACGAGGACGTGATTGTCACTAAACCATTCGGTAACGGCAGGATGACCTGCAGGGAGATTCGGCGCAACTCGGCGGGCTGCATCAAGTTCCGTGAGGAGTGCGAGAAGTGCAAAGAGATCCAGCACCTTGGTGAGAAACCCCCGCCGTGAAGTTAGGATTTATTAACCGTTTATTAACCAGTCAGGGACCATCTTGAAAACATGTAGACATTCAAAAGGTCAAAAAAAGATTGAAGTGGTTATTAGTAGTCATCCAAAGCTGCTGTTCGTCCGCCTCGCGTTGCCTTCACAGACTGCTCCTGGAAGAGACCTCTGGAGGGTCCCCTGAAGGAGGAGCTGGAGGAGGCGCTGGCCTTGACCGAGCGATTCACCGAGCAGTACAACTCTCTCCTGAAGCGCTTTGAGGAGCAGATGTTCAACACCTCCGCCATCCTGGACATGCTGAACAGGCAGTTCGGCTGGGTGTCGTCTCTGGCCAACAGCACCAAGGACGGCAGCTTCCGAGTTCAGGCGGTACGTACTGTAGGTCTCACATGTGGCTAGGGATTGTCTAAAAGGATTAGCTTTGAGGGATTTGAAATTGCTACAATGTGAGAAAAGTGCTAATGTCATCCATCTGTTGACTAATTTTGAGACATGACTTGGCCAACATCATCCCGTAGGAGAAATGTGGCGAAACATCTAAAGCCTGACATGTCATCTGATAGAGAAATGGCTTTAAACTGTCAGGGAAAAGTCATCTTTGACCTTCCTCTCTGCTGCAGGTTATAAGCAAGGACACCGAAGAGACGCAGCCCTCGGACACCAGAGTGTCGGTGAAGCTGTTCGACACGCCGGCCATGAACTTCACCGTACCGGGGGACATCCCCTGGACCGACCCCAAGTTCTCCGAGGTGGTGGCCCAGGAGGCTCTGGACCGCTACAAGGAAACCAGCGTGTGAGCGTCCAATCACTGCGAACCAGCTAGTCGAGGTTTAATGATTTGATTAAAGTTGACCTCTGACCTCTGTTCCTTTCCTCTAGTGTGGTCAAATAGCCTCCAGCCGGACATTCGTCCAAACCCGCTTCTGCTGACTTCGTTAAGACTCACCCTGAAGCTAACCCTGGTTCCTCTAAGTCCTGCTTTAGCAAACGGCCCTCAGAGGGTCACACGGCTACTTTAGTCCAGCGGTAGAAGATATATGTCGATAACGGGCCTGACCTCCTACATAAAAGGGCTTCTTCTGTTAAAGCTGGGCCTCCCGAACAGGAGCCCGCACTGCAAACATGATTTGCTACCATGCTGTACTCGTCTTTGTTTTTTTTTAGATATGAATCACTTTTTTCAGCTCTACAAAAATATTTCCTCTTGAATGTAGAAAGAAGAAAGAATTTGATTTGTTGCAGTTATTTACAAAGGGGATAAGTTCACGCCATCTGTTACTGATTTTAATGACGTTTTTTCTGGGATGGTTAATGTAGTTGATGAACTGGAATTGAAATCGCCGATTAGAGAGATATGATATGTTTAGTAGCTGCTTTGAGCTGCTCTTTGAAACAGCAGTACATGAAAGTTGAATTAAAATCTGCTTGAAAACACTGTCTTTTCTGTTATTAATCCACCCGTGCTTCTCTGAGCTGTGTCGTGTCCTCCAAAGAAACGTTTTCCACAAAGTTTTCTTGATACGTGTTCACTCCAACCCGACAGATCCCACCCATTAAAAAAAAACCATGAGGTTCACACATATTAGCTCCTCACACTTGCACAATATGGGAGCATTTTCTACAATCGGTAAATAATTTGCCATTTTTGCAGCACAGTTTTAACTTATTTTAGCTGCATTATTTTTAAGTTCAGTAAAATCAAATAAAAAGCCTTTTCAAAAAATAATTGACTGAAAGGAGAGGTGTTTAAAATATTGTGCCGTTTTTTATTTTGTGTAAAAATCACACAGCTGCTAATTAAATCTGCAGAGATACAGTACATCCATGCAGTTAAACATCTAGGATCCCACAGCCAGAGAGAAGGAATTAAATAGAATATTCTTTCGCTGTTAGTCAGCAATTAATGCAAATTTACATATGAGTCCAAAAGTGTGTATCCTATACAATACACACCACAGATCTGGGAGCAAAGAGCATTCAAAAGCCCACCAAAGTCTTCATTAAATGACCGATTGCCTCTGCCTGCCTGGATTGCCTTTTGGGATTCGGGATGAGGAAGGAGCTGTTGTGCGAGCAAACATTGGAACAATCCCACCTGAAGGAATTGAACGGGGTTTTGAATGCTATTCGCTCCAGTCTTGAAAACGATATTGCGCTCGTGCGCGCACACACACACACACACACACACAAAAAGTACACCGTCATCCTCAACAGCAGAAAAAAAAAAAAAAAAAGAAGGGGGGAGGGGGGAGTGAGGGGGCGTGGAAACCTGAACGCCAGGCTGGGGGGGGTGGGGTGGGAGGGGGGTAAGGCTTTAGAAGTCTGATGTTTCACCAACACACAGGGGACAAAAAAAAGTCATTAAAAAAAACAAAAAAACATCAGCGAAATGGTCAGACGGGATGTTTCAAGACACCAGGATTGCGTCGGAGAAATCTAACTCGAGTGGTTTGTCGTTTTTTTCCTTCGTAAAGCATCTTTTTTCTTTTTAAATACAGGTCAAAGACGGGAACGGACATGCAGATTAAAATATAGGCCAACAGGAGGGGATGTAACAAACAGAGGAGGGAGAGAGGGGAGGGGGGGGGGGGGTGCGGGGTGGGCTTCAGTTCAAAGTGCAGTTGGGACATTCAGGTCTCCCATTCTGTTGACTGGGCTCTTGTTGGGCTTCATCCCCACCAAGCTAGGGGTCACATCTTGCAGATTTCAGGTGAAAGTGCCCTGATTTAAAAACACTGAGCTGGAGTTGAGTTCCCTCGGAGAGATCGGGAGCTGGAGGGAAGCGGACTGCTCATCGGTACCGGGGGGGGGAAAAAAGGCAATATCACTCACAAACATACAGTAGATGGTGTTTCTGGAAGATCTACGATACAAAAAAAACCAGAGTATACTGTTCACACAGTTGCTACGATCAGAGAACAGACAGCTAGAGTACAGTTGGTCTGTGGATGTGTCGCCCGTACTTGCATAGTGCTGCCGGCCTGATTGGAGAACAGCTCTTTTTTTTTTTTTTTTTTTTTTTTTTTTTTTTAAACATAAACCCCTGCACCATTTATTTGGATCTGTGCCCACTGGTTGGGGGGGGGGGGGGAGAAATCGCAGGAGAACTCCTCCCTGCTCAGCAACATGATTCTTCATAGACGCCGCCTTCTGCAGCCCAGCGGCTGGAAATTGTCAAAACCCTTCAAAAGAACCGTCCTCTCCTCTGGAGGCCTTTTCCCCAAAAAGGTGAAGCTGTAGCTGAGGACGGCCACGTCGTGGGGGGGAGTGGGGGGGCTAAAAGGGAAGCTGAAATGTCGAACCACTGCCAAGTCTGGAACAGAAGTTCCAGAAAAGCCTGCGTAAAGGAGGCGCGGGGGGAGTGGGGGGGAGTTGGGGGGGGGGCTTTTGGTCTTCAAACACAACCCAAGTCGAGATGAAAGAGCAGTTATAGTTCAGTCGTTTGGCATAAAGTTAAACCATTCAGTCACGTCGATCCTCGAAACACTGTAACATGAAGACGAACAGAAGACGCACAGCCGTCACACACTGCACCACGCCATCCATCTCACACACACACACACACACACTTTCGTTACACCTAGAAGCTGAGTAGAAGGGGCGGCCATAGGAAGGGGCTGAATTCATGTCACAGGATGAGTCGAAAAAAGCCTTTGTCGTTGTAATCGAGCCATTAAAGGCCTCGCACACACACACCCGCACACACACACACACGTCCTGTCGGGGAGCAGACCAGTATGTTTCACAACAAACTGTTGCTGCCCGTCAAACCTGTTCTGGTTCGAACCAGACCAGCTCTCTGCTAGAATATGCCCAAAACCTGGAAGGTGCTAATATAAACCAAGCAGAGACGCCATCTCTGTGGAGATACGGATGTCTCATCGCTTTCGGACCGAGACGAAAGCTTCAGTTCTCTAACAGGGTGGCGGGGTAAAACATACTGGAACTGCTCGCCCGAGGATCACGAGTCAGGCAAACGGTCACACCACAAACCCACTCTGCATTTCCTCTCCAGCCACTCAGAGAGTAGAGTCATGAGACGCCAGCGGTTTGTCCTCACGCGGGTGGAGCGCCGTCTCCCGGCTCCTCGTCATCCTCACCTCCACCTCTCTTTAGAACACAAACATATTGAAAAGTGCCGGTTTGTAAAACGTCCTCCCGTCTCCTCGGCCCGCTGGTGGGGCCGTACTCTCAGGTCTGTCCGGTTTCTGGTTGGTCGACTGCGACCGTGCCGCCGGGGGGAAAGCCGGAATAACAGAAAGGAGGATGAGGAGTGGAGGAAGGGAGGGGGCCGCAGCCTTGCTTCTGATGAACTACCGCCGAGTTGAGCTCCGTGCTTCGGTTAGAGGTGGGAGAACGGTCTGAGCTGCTCCAGCTGGACCTCCAGAGATATCCTTTCTTCCAGCAGGTCCTGGAAAAAAGCGCCATGCGTGAGCTAAAGGAGCCGCTTTTGCCCAAAAACCAGAGTCCGGCTGCCGTGTGTCCTACCTTCAGCTGCTGCTGTAGTTCACTGTTTAGTCGTGCCAACACTGTGTTCGTCTCCTTGTTTCTTCTGATTGAGGCTTGAATGGACTTTTTGTCCTTTCCGACTGACCTAAAGAATCAGAAACGGAGAAACGCGTTCAACAAATCTGGCGCACACCATTTCAGAATGTTAAAGGAGTTCCTGTCCCACCTGGGGATGGAGGGCTGAGTGGCCAGGACGGCGGCTATGACGTTGGACTTCTGCGGACCGGGCTGCTCGTCCTCTGGTCGCAGCTCGTCTTCAGACTTCAACCTCCGGCGAACGGGTTTTGGCGGTGGAGCCAGCGGACCCGAGGAGCCCTTGGTCTGTCGTGAAAACACAGACGGATGAAAACCCTGTTGCTCCTGAGAGTCTGTTCACTTTAACGGTGATATAAAATGCCTTGAAGTCCGCGTTACGTACAGAGTTGACCGTAGCTGGGGTTCTCTCGTCGGCTGGACCGTCGCTCTTCACTGTCCTTAAAGGGCCGGCGCCTTCTAATGTTTTGTCCACCTGGCGACGGGAGAAGAGGAGAGCTCGTTTTTCCCTTAAATGGCGATTCGGACGGCGCCTGTGGCCGTGCTAAAACATTCCCAGTGCTTCCGGGGAAGAACCCACCTGTCCTGGCTCGCTGTGTTTGTCCACCTCTGGCAGGCTGGAGGGCTGTTCGGACGCGGCAAAGGCCTGAAACTGGCTGAAGTCGGCAAAGTTGGGCTGCTGAGGGATCTGCTGGGGGGACGTGGTGGCGAGCGCCGCCCCGCCTCCGGGTACCGCCTCGGCTTCCACACGGTGCCCCGCGAGTGGCACCGACGTCTGGGAGGCAGGCGGGAGAGGGGAGGAAGGGGGTGAGGCGAGGAAAGAGCGCGGCGGCCCGGCGAACGCCTGCTTTGTTCTTTAAGCTCCTACCTGTGTGGGAAGCGGGCGAGGAGGCACTGCGGGAGGGAAGGCGATGGCGGAGGGCTGCGGCTGTCCGGCGGCGGACGTGGCGGCGAAGGTGCGATTCATATCCAGCGACGACGAGCGGGAGTGGGAGGGATGTGGGCGGGGAGGGGGGGGAGGCGGAGCGACCACTTTTAGGCCCTCTGGAGACGTACCGGACTGAGACCTTGGCAGAAAGACAGACGGGATTAAAATACGGCGATGCAACAATGAGGTCTCGTCTGACCAAGACTCACCTTTGCCTGGTGATTGGCTCCTGGTCCGAGGTGAAGGAATCTGAACTACTGTAACCATCCCCTACATGGAACATGGAATAAACAAACAAACAAACCCAAAACCCATTAACCCCAAGCTGTGCAGCTCGTAACTGAAAACATATACAGCAGGACACGTCCACAAGTTTACAGATGTTAGGTCAAAGGATGGTCATGTTGGTGGGAATGAGGCCGTTTTAAGCAGATGGAGGAGGTTCTGGGGCCGTTTCAGAGCAGCCGTCCTGTACTCACCCACAGTGTTGGCAGCTACAAACTTCATGGAAGCAGGCAGTTTGGCTTCTTCAGAGAGTTCTGGAGGTTTCACCAGCAGAGGACTGGTCGGGTGATTGTGGTCTGAAGGAAGAGGGGGAAAAAAATCTCAGGAAATGTACTGGGTCTACAGCAGCCAACGCTTGCAAATAAAAAAAAAAGAACACTGGTAATTAACAAATAGTTTGGACCCCCGGCGCTCCAGTAACAGAAGCTGCTAATGAGTGTGAAGGTGCCACATTTTTCTGTGTGAATAGGAGTAGAAAGTTGTGTGTGATGGCACATTAGGGTGTGTTAACTGGCTCTTGGGCTGTGATTAGGTTTCCTGCACTGCCAACTCAGCATGGGTAAAAGTCGGGCCGGGTTTCGGGCCACGGCGAGTCTCACCGCTGCCAGTCCTCTTCAGCTCCATCTCCTGCATGTGGATCTTACTGGGCGTCATCCGGATGGGCACCGGGTGGACGATGGCCGTGTCCTTAAGGAAAGACAGAGGAACAGGTAAGAGAAAGACTCACCTATGGAGAAATCATCTGAACTCCACTTTTTATTTACCCACAGATTATATGTTTAAAAACAGGATCATTTACACCTCGGAGAACCTGAACTCATCATTCCCACAGCTGTTTCAGGAATTCTGGGCATCAAAATGTATTTTCTGGTTAACCTCTCGAAAAAATTTACCTTAATATTCTAGATATTCCGCAAAACATCTAGGCCGTGAAATTTGAAAGCAGGCTGATCTGGTATGTTGTTACTAAAATGTAGAAACAGGCTGTAAGCATCTGTAGAGAAGCCGTTATCAACCGGCTGTTACAAAATGAGGGAAAACTAATTTCCGGCATCAATACCCAGGAGGCAGATACTCCCTTTACGAGTTCAACTCTAAAAAACTTTTGGCTGATTCAGATTAAGCGGATCAGGAGAGAAATAATTAAAGGTTAGTTTACATTTACATATGTATGGCAGTATGAATGTTTACATCTGTTTTATTGGTGGGTGCCACAGTAGAAAAAAACAAAACTAAAGAGATGTCCAAATGGAAGCTTAGCCAGCCAAATCCCAACGCACAGGGGCCACTGCTGGTGTGGGGAATTGCACTTTTAGAGAACATCATGCGCAGACAGAGTGACAGGCAGAGACCTAGAGAGGGTTAATAACTGTCTATTAATGGTGAAGACATGCATTCTACGTGATTGACTTACAGGGTCAGCTGGTGCAATGTTAGAGTCAAATTGGGTCAGAGTTTGTGAGCTGGAGGAGCGCTCGCTAAACGTCTCCCACTGCTGCAGGAGATAGACAGTGAGAAAAAAAAAACATGTCAGTCAGCTGGTGCGGTGACATCACACATTTACATCATCAGTCCGAGCCTCCGCGCTGATGTGACACCAGTCATCAGCAGGTGACGTGATGACACCACGCCATCGGCAGGCATGGACGCAGAAATTTGATTCCAAATCGCAGGCAACCGACACAGTAGAGAGGAGAAGAAGACGAGGTGCCGGATTATTGGAATTATGTTGGATGATGTGGAAGTTGATGGCAATCAAATCATGACTGATGGGACGAGAAAAGACACATTTCAGCTCGGTGAGCCTAAACTAAGATGGATCGAACGCAGACAAAGCCAAAGCGACAAAGGGAAGAGCTTCAAGTCTGTGGGAATGTGTGGTGGAGTCTGGTGTCGTTTGTGCGCGTGTGTGTGTGTTTTTGTGTGTGTGTGCGAGCGCTGGAACCTCGTTGCTCTGGTTCATCTCGGGCCACGCCTGGTTGAGTGAAGGCATGGAGGGAGACTTGTTGGGAGTGACTTCCACTGGTGACCCCGAATACCCGACATCAGCGTTCGGCTCTGGGACTTCTACATGTGGGGAAAAAAAGACAGGTTCGATACACGCGTGCTCTTTTTTAATGGGATAAATTTATCAAAGATCCATGTCAAAGGGAGCACAACTCTACGAAGCGCACACCGTGCTGCACGCTCTCAGTGTTGAGGCTAGAAAAATGGCCGAAGGCTGTAATAAGGAGAGGCTCGTACCTGCTGAATCGTCCAGGTCAATCAGCTTTGGCATCAGGCTCTCGGGCAGCTTCTCCGGCAGGTCGTAGCCGTTCTTTCTGGCCACGACCAGGTGAAAGGCGGCGCAGAACTCGTCCAGGGTCAGAGCTCCGTCTTTGTCAAAGTCTGACAGCTCCCTTCACAGACACACACACACACATATTTGCCGGCATTACAACGGTAGCTGCAGCTACAGCTCAGGTTCTCCTCATTGGCACCAAATCCAAAACCGACAGCTTTTCTCTCACAACTAATAACTCAGACTAAACGTCGACTCACTCCCCATTTCAAATCACAACTCAAAAGACATCTGTTTAAGACTGCCTTTTCTATCCGAGGTCTATTGATATTGCCATTGCCTCTGACTTTTTTTAGTGAATTCATTGATTTTTATTGTTTCTTTTAATGGATTTTTGTGTATCTCTGTAGGGTGTCCTTGAGTGCCGAGAAGGTGCCTTCAAATAAAATGTATTATTATTATTAGAATAAGTTTATCCTGCTCATCAGACCAGGAATGCTTTATGCCGCTTCAACGTAGCACTGTGAGGTAGACAGAACTTTTTTATTAATCAAATAACTGCACTGGCAGGATGCAGACTGACGGATCGGTGGAGCTTCTTCGCTGGCGTATGCGAGACCATCGTTAATCTGAAAACCGATCAAGTTCCAGAACCTGTGAGATACGATAACCATAACTCACCAAATGTGTGACAGCTCTAATATGGGTAGCTTTGATTTGGTGAAGAACTCCTTTGCTGCCGATCCTGGAAACGCAAAGACACAGAGCGAAGCTCAGATCAACCCAGGTCTTTTCCTTGGAGAGTCTGTTTGGCGTGTTTGCCTTTTTCCTACCAGGTATGAAGCCAGTGAGGTCGGGTTGAATGGTTTTAAACTGGTTAATGTAATACTGTCTCTGCTCGTCTGTGATCTTCCACGGATCGTCGTAGCTGCTGGACTGCCGCTGGATCTCATTGGTGGTTGCAGCCGAGGCCACGGTTCGTATCGTTGTGCTTTCCTAAAGAGAATTTACACAGAATTGAGCGGGTGCCTGTTGAGACGCTCTGATCCAAACACACAGTGCTCCCCATCAAAGTGTCTCTGACCTAATTTGAGTTGTGATCGTAGCAAATGGTGTCATTGTTTTGTCTAAAAACAAATATGTTCTAGTATGTGGAAGTGTTCTACTAGTAAAAATCTTTCTAATAATTTTCTATAAACAAAACAATAATAAACAATAATATGCTGGCCTAATTATATTTTATTTTTAAAATGTATAATATATAGTGTGAATATGCAAATTAATGCATGAAAAATTGTTGTTTTTCTGCTTGCGTTTGAAAGCGTAGAGCACAGATGGCAGGTATTTAGGGTGTGTGGTCTGGAACTGTGTCAGACTCAGAATCCAGCTCATTCTAAGGCTGAAATGACACAGATGGGAACGGGGGAAAAGAATTCTTGATTGGGACACTCCTACTTCCTGCGCCGGGGGAGGGGGAGGGGGAGGGGGGGTGGCTAAAGTTTCGAACGGATATGAATGCCGAGGGATGTTTCAAATGCGGTTACTTTACTTCATGATATGTGATTGCAACATCTGATGGCCCCGCTTCGGCTGAAAAATGAGGGTGACGGCTGCCTGTCAGGGCTTCCACTGTCTGTTACAGTCATCCTCGCAGTGGACATTCCACTGCGCTCACTTAGCGGATGCTTTTATCAAAGCCACTTGCAAGTGTGAGAAACATTACGGGCCAAACAACAAATGAGATGAGCAGGGATTCATTTCCCAGCGGCTCTACCTGGACCGATGAGGGGTGCATTGCTGGGAGCGTGCTGGAAGGAGGCGTGTCTGCGGTGAAACTGACCCAACTTTCCTGACTTGGAGGAGGCGGCGAGTGTGACGACCACATGCCATCACCGGTAACTGGACCTGGAAGGATGAACAAAGGACATGATATTTGAAAATATTAGCAACATCGCTAACTTTATGCTAACACAGGCATTTACTTATCACAGACAGTCTCTTTTATTCCCCTAACAACTAACTACAGCAACAGTTAATCTGAAAATCATTTCCATCTGCTTCAATTATTTCATGTCATCGGATAAAATACAGACAACTTCAGGCTTTAGAGGCAGTTTTCAGAGGCTGCTCGGGTATTAGAATATGTTTCCATTGACCTGCCGGGTCAGAGCGAGTTGACTGAGGCTGGCCGTTACCCGTTTGTGGTTCTCTGAACTGCGTCCACACAGCTCCCGTTGCGGCCACCGCGGGTTGTCTGTCTGCGTTTCCGCCGCTATGTTGTCGCTTGTGTTTCCTCCAGGAGTGAGGGGAGGTGGGAGGAGACTGGTGAGGTGAGACGACCGGGGACGTCGGCTCGGGCTGGACACAGCGACCAAACCAAAAAACGTCACTTAAAACAGACCTTAAGAAAACTTTGGGATTAGATAGAAAATAACTCCATTATATTTTGAACCAGCACACAGATTTAGCAGCGCGGCCTTATCGTGACTTTTAAGTGCTTCTCCTCAGATGCTATCTTGTATACAGCTTGACTTTTATCTTTTCAAACAGCACAACTGAACCGTCTAAGAGCCACTAAAACCCACTCCGAACGTGCTTAATCTGCACCATCACAGATGTGGGATGTTCAAACAAACAGCAAAAGAGTTTTTCACTACTGACAGCAAATGGAAGTTGTATAGCAGATCTGCATAATAACTGACTGGCATGTAAACACGCACAAGCCAACTAATGACAGCAGTGTAATTTGAGCTACAAATAACAAAAGCACTATTTAAATAAAGAGGGAAGTTAATCAGAAGTGCAAAGGAATACTATCCTGATAGGAAAGGCAAATGTGACCACAACGAGGACTGAAAAGGTGGATTTATGTGGGATGTACGCGGGGCAGCTGGGTGACCAACCTGTGGCTCTATGCTGGGTGCCAGGGGCTGGATGACCTCGTGGACAGGGTGTGCAGTGGTCGGAGGGGGACCTTTCTTGTTGGGATGCCCCCTGCCTGGCGGTCGGGGTATGACTGCAGCTCCGGGGGCCGGGTACAGGCCTTGGCTGTCCGTGTCCTGGTACAGCGCCGCGTGTCTCGCCTCCGCCTCGTTCTTCCCCACCACGAATCGGGGCGGCGGCAGGTCTTTGACTGGCAGAAAAAAAAAAAAAAAAAGAAAATTCATCCACTTTCGCAGAGTGTGTAAAATTCTGCGTCGTGCTTGTGATGGATTGCAGGAGTTCTGGGTTTGGCACTCCGTTTCCTGGCTGTGTGTATTGCCTGGACGGGTCGTATATTTGCTGGTCAGGCGGTGACATAACGGCTCGTAAAGACGGCGACAGCTGTGAAATGGGAGCAGGGCGAGTGTTTCTCATCGGAACAGTTGCTTCCTCAAAATGAAACACAACAGTGCACTTTGTGCAGCATTTGTATCCTAATGTGGCTGAAAACCAGAACAAAACGAGGACATTTGTAACCACTTCTAAAAGCCGGCACTACAGCTCCTGTAGCGCTGGCTTTCATGCCTAACTTTTCAGAAAATATTCACTAACTCAGCTGGGCGGTCAAAGGTTAAATTCTGATTTTGGCATCTAGAAAAAGAACAATATAATGTGGACAGATCAACTAGGGTTAATGCAGTCATGGTCTTGATTTGTGACTGCCAGCATGGCTTCACATCCAGAGAGCACAAAGTAAATGAACATTCTTCAGTTTCATGTTCAATGTTCCCAACATCATCATGGCTGAGTCCAAAACATCCCCAAAGCTAGCATCCATCACATTGTGCAATGTGACCCTTTATCTAAGAGGAAGTTGGCTTTGGGCTTCCTTAAGCATTCATCAAATTATGAAATCATGTCAGCGTGTTGCAATATTTAAGGGACCCACACGTAAGTCTGCAAAGCGTTTAGGATTTATAGTTTTTTTTCCATTTTTTAATGAGTAACATATATGTTTAAATATACAGATCAGCCTTTCCCCCCTGATCTGTCGTTAAGGATACATTAATACAAGATCAAGAAAATGTAAAATGGACCCTGTGACCAATCAGACATAAAGTGAAATCAAAACTGAAAGAAACTGAAGTTCATAGAAATGTGTTTGAATGCAGAGGAGTGGAAATTTCCCTGTAGAGTTCAGAAAAACTTTCCACAGGAACTTTTGTTTGGGGATTTTAGAAAAATTCTCATACATTAGACGTCACTTTTCTGTTAAATGAGCATCAACAGCCCTGTAGTGGATAGCGTACTATGTGCATGTTTTTGCCTGAAATCTGACTGTTTTAGCAAAGATTATGCTAAAGTACTTTTTTTTTTTATCAACTTCATTAAACTTCCTGACCGTCCATTTAAAGGATTTAAACAATGTATTTCCATGGAAGGTTTCAAACTTTGAAAATCAGTTCACTTGTGAAAAATGTTAGGATTATTGAGAATAACAGATGACTGTCCCCTGCTTCCTTTTTCACAACCTCAATTCATCCAGCTTTCCTTCGAACAACAAACTATTTTAAACACTTCTGTGAATATCGTATATTCTATTACAATATATTAATCAGGTCTGGCTTCTCCAAACATTTGACTAACCCTGGAAAACCCAAATGGGGAAAAAAGAACTGATGTGTGTTCCTGCAGAAAAAGAACTGTGACACAGTACGTTCAGGGCTGGACTCACCCGAGTTGAGGCTCTCCACCCTCAGCGGCAGCCCGGCCTGGGCGATGGCGATAAGTTTCAGAGCAATGTAGAACTGGCTCCGTCCAAAGTGACCCAGCCGCGTGGCTCCACACAGCTCTGTGATCTAACCCCCCCACACAAAGAGAGGAGGCACAGTTACTAACATTGTATTCATCTAGAGAGAGCACAAAAAAAAAAAAAACTTGACAAAACCCACAACTGTTACTTAGTGTTTTCTTAAGGGTTGAATCGCTTCTTTCTGTGGTCAAATAAAGAACTGTAAACACTTAACACTGTTACTCGCTTTCAGTCCCAAATGCGGCACAAGCAACCCTCTCATTAGCTGCACTCACTGGCAGATGTTCAGCGGGTCTCAGCGGTTATAAGCCTGATTATCACATATTTTGCAGTCATTTGAATCCAACAGAGAAGGCTGCATGCAAAAAAAAAAGGTACAAAATGGTTGTCTAAGTAACCCAAGCGAGACTGAAAAATGCCTAAAAAGTGGATGGACGACTAATAGACGGTGTGGTCTTGAATAAATGCAAGAAACTGAAACCTGTTGGTGATTAGTATCTGCGGGGTTAAGCTTCATAAGACTGTAACGGCCCCTAATCTGCGATGCCTTCAGCCCTGCCAGCCACAACCCCGACAGCCCGCCACAGATGACTGAGCCCCCTTCTGCTGACAAAGGACTTATGCTGAGTGTTTGCGCACAAAATAGCACCAGTCACTGTTCTCAGGCTGTCACATCATGACACTGTGGCATCTCGTGGGCCCCCACCCCACACTAGGCTCAGTGTAGATTTTGACAGCGGGGAGCTACTTCGCAGGGCGATTCTTCCACCACACAGCTCCCCCTTGTTGACCTTGAAATGGATGCTGACTCATAAACGGCTAATACTGCCCTGCTGAAAGACCTGGAGTCACAGGAACAGAATGCTGCAGTTTAACTGGCTACTCATGACTCAGATGAGTGACGGAGCGGGGACTCTCTGGATGGGATCATCAAAGATTAAACTACGAGGTAGCATTTCGGCACCGACATCCTGATGCATGCATGTGCAACAACGACATCATAACATCATGTTACTACGCACATGAAGCCCAATACGTTTTACCAGACATTACACTCCAAAACAACAATCATGGACAGGAGTAAAACAACCAGGGGAATAAATAAATGACTGAAAATTACATTTGTGGTACATTAATAAGAAGCTTACGCAGCCTTTTTAGCCTGATCACTTCAAATCCCAAAGTCAAGTGTAAACTGTGCAATTGCACCCCCAAGGAAAAAAAAAACTGAAATGTCTGATCTATTACTTAAGCCTGGATTTCTAAAGTATGACTATAACACAGCTGTTCCCTGGCAACCCGACCAGGGAATGAAACCACTGAATTGCTTTAACTATGAAGCTTGCACTGACTTACATCAGGGTTTGCACTGAAAAGTTAACCATATGGCATTAACATTTAGGAAAAACGATGCTTTCCACAGGGTAAAAAAACCCTTATTAAATTGCATGCCCTTCTAAATCATTCTATTGTGCTTCACTACCTATATAGCATCAAAACCCACATCTGTGCAAGCTTCCTCATCAAGTAATCTGTTATTACTACTACATTATGATTAAGGTTGTGCATTATTGAGGATATATAACATGCTATACTATATATTCTATTATACTTTAATAAGTCGCCCAGCCAAGAAGCCAGTGGAAGGAGAAAACAGGAAACAGAGGCCAGTAATGTGAAGCTCTGGGTCCACGTTGTTGGCATTGTAAGATGTTGGGTAAAAAAAACAAACAGACAATTAAAAAGCACACACGATGACACGGTCTCGTGTCTGTGTTACATTTCCAGTCAGCGACCGTGTTATGAGCTATTTCCAGATAACTATGTCTTCCCTCCCTGGCTGGGGCTAACATTAGCCAGAAGAAGGTGTGTCTCCGGCCGGGCTAACCGGGCAGGCTAACTTCAGCTAAAGAGGCTGACCGGTCAGTCAGACCCCCAGCAGCAGGTCAGCTTCACACCTTATCCGTTTTCAGAGCCACCCTTTGGGGCTCGTCTCTCAGTCTAAGGGGTGGCGGTTTTAAAAAACTGATACCTGAGAGGGTTAGCTTACCTGCAAGACAACTTCGCTGGGTAGGTGGGCCGCCCGGAAAAGGTCAAGAACTCTCCCGTTGGAAGCCACTTTTTTGGTGTTGTCCGTGTCGCAGTAAACGAACAATTCCGAATAATATTTCTGCTCGACATCACTCAGCGTTAGACTTTCCATCGTATTGCCAAGTGGAACTTGGAAAGCAGACTAGTCGGCTGTTGATTAGCCCCTTAGCCAATGGCTGGGGCAGAATCTGAAAAAATGGGCGAGACTTCAGGATACCAACTTAGCTAGCGTTACTTCCTAGCTAACGGTGAGATTAGCAGAAATAAGGTTCACAACACGCTCTTTCGACTAGTTGTCGCCTGGTCCCGCTCCCTGCAAGCGTCCCTAATACTGTCTACCAACAACCAGCGCCGGTTCCAAGACAAGAGGTCAAATGCGGAATGGTTTCACACAGTTAACCACTTTGTTAACTTATTGGGCAGCCAAGCCAAGTGGCCAACAGCTGGCTAGTAGTGCAGTGAGCTAACTGCTACCTTGAATCAAAGTCAGCGGCTCTAACAGCAGGCTAACTAGCAAGTCGTAAAGTGCGTCCACCCTCTCGATCTGGGCATAGGTCGCCTTAACCACAAGCTACAGCACTTCTTCTGTCCCGATTCCGCTACAGGGCGACGTTTCTGCGTTTCGCCAGAGACAGATTCCTCCGCGGGGCCGTTAGAAGTAAAGTTTCAGGGTCTTTGGGCTCCTTCCTCTGGTAATCATAGCCGCCATTCCTGCTTCCAGTGTAAAGCTAGTCGAACTTAAATGAAAGCTTCCGGTAAAAATCTTCAAAGTAAAGAGAACTGAATGTATATGCAGGGGCATGGCAAAGTGGGTAACAATCCTATGATCCATGTCTGTTGAATTACCCCGGTGCAGCAGAGAGTTTATATTTTCTAAATAACTTTATCTACTTGTGTGGACAGCCAACCAAATACTTCTGCGACCACACTCACTCAACCTGCAAGTCCCTGCTTCCAATGTATTTACATAATACAAAATAAAGTCCATGATATGTAATATTACACAATATTACAGATATTACACAATCACTGTCTAATGCAGATTAACTAGCATGTAATAATTCCCGGTTCTTCTTTCTATTTGTAGAATTGTGATATCTAGTGTATAAATGATTAATACATCACAGTGACCTGAATAATTCAAAGTTTATTTTATACTTGCATTAATAAATAATATGAAAAAATGATCAATTATTTCATTTACTAATTGATTTGTCTTTTAAATAGACAGAATTATTTGATTAAATATGCATGAGGGATGTATCGATTAACATTTTACACAATTTAAGATAAATATGTGGGCTGTGATGATGAATGAAAAAAAATGTTGCTGAAATGGGAGAAAGGTCACCATAACAATGTATTCTGAAAGGAACATAGCCCAACTTCCGGTTCACTCCAAGACTTCTTATCATCTAACTCAGTGTTTTTCAACCTTTTTTCAGCCAAGGTACATTTTTTCATTGAAAAAATCACGAGGCACACCACCAACCAAAAAAGTCAAACAAATCTGTAGCCGTCTATAGTAACTCTATAGTTATTCTTATCTTAAGTGTCTTGAATAGGAATCAAATAAACACAAAAATGATTTTTATCATATTTGATATATTTCTTCTTTCAAATTGCTCTTAACATGTCCACTTCAATATATAAAATTATATCCAAAATGTAGTCATAAGGAATTATTACATGATTACGCCACCAGTCACTAGTACAGCACAGACACCCAAAAATTATTTGCAGATAATTAATTCCTTATCAAAAAATCTTCTTAGACCAATTAGGTGAAATAGGATGATTTTCTACGGCACACCTGACCATCACTCGCGGCACACTAGTGTACCAAGGCATAGTGGTTGAAAAACACTGATCTAACTCGACGTTTCTTGACGTCACGGGGCTACCGTCCGAGTCAGCTCGAGTTTGCTGGCCTGCGGGGACCCGGATGAGTGATTTCAAAGTAAGAGGTACACTAAAAGCTTGGCTCCAAAAAGATAAATGAACTGTATAAGAAAACAGGCGCCAAACATTGCGTCTGTTCACAAACAGAAGCAGCCTACAGTGGCCTGGCTACGTAAATTGACTTTATCCCTCTGGAATAGTCAGCAACCCACAGAAATATGTGATATATGAGTTATCTTAAAAACAGCCAGTATGATGACCCTAAGTATACGTAAACTAAAAAAAACAGATACACTATACGAAAAATAGTGGGTCATTCAGATACACTAACTTTCTATATTATGTTTATTTAATTAAGCAGACTTGACTTCTTTAATGGCCTAAAAGTGGGCATATTTTTATTTTTGGGCTCCTGTTTTGGTGGTTGTGTGAGGCTAGGTGCAAAAATCCTGTCAGCAGAGGCAGAAAAGGGAAAACACAGCTTCCAGTTCTTCCAGACCTAATATGGGGAATGTAGTTTGAAGTAAGACATTGTGTCACGATGAAGTCAGATGAGCTTTCACATTGCCTTCACGTGCTGTAGGAAATTAGAAGAGTCCCCTTCAACCACTCTAATTTCCACAAATATACTCCTTTAAAAATTACAGTAATTAATTAGGAGAATCACAACATTCCACACAATTAAGTTTGAAATAAGCTTCCCTTCTTCCCCAAAAAATGAATGTGTTTTAATCGAGCCTCCTCATCGTTCCTGCCCTGAAAGCTGCGGTGTCCGAGCACACTTTGAACGCAGCAACATTTTCACCGGTGCCGACTCATCAGAAACTCGCCCATCACCTCATTCCTCGCAACAAAAAAAAGCCACAATCAACAACACAAAGGTAAAAAGATAACGTGGAAATGTCGCGTCTGCTGTGTGTTTATTAATTCGGTAATTCCTGAGTTCCGTCTGCTGGGTGGGAGGGAAACGGCTCCTCGGTCCTCTCTCAGCAGACCTGGTCTGTCTGGTGTCGGTGTCTCTCCGGGACGATGCTCGGTAAAATGTTTTGGAGCCTGAAGTGTGGACAAACGCCGGTGTTTTGTTGACATAAATTCGTGGGGCACGAATGGCTCTGGCTCCAAAACCACTGAGCTCCGTGTAGCATTTGTGTCTTTGGCTAGCCGGGAGTTGCTAATCTCTCATTTCCGCATTGGTGATTTTTTTTTTCCGCCCTTCAGGTTGCAGCTTGTTGATCCTGGGGCTGGTTTCCCCATCGAGGTGTTTCTGTAAAACACTGATATCCCTTCAGTCCGACCAGTAATACCGCGTCATCTTTTCTAAAGTTCATCAAGCTTAACAGAAATGTGAACTAGTTGACTATTTCTGCGGTCAAAACTGATTGGAGATTAGAGATTAACCTCCTTATTGGATTTAATCAACCTCTTATACTGTTAATTCAATTTTTTTTTTTTTGTATTTGGTGAATACAAGCCATCACATGATGACTTTCTGTGTGCTTTTATCCTTCATTGATTAGCAGATATGTCTAATTCTAAGCAGTTTACTTTGTGTTTTGTCCAATCACAAGAGGAGAACCCTTGTTCTCACCTTTGACCTGAAAAGAATGTCTTTTTCTTCTTGTGAAACGTGTTTTTTTGGTGTTTTTTTTACGGCTTTGCTGTTTTGTCCTCAGGAAAGAGGAAAACCCACCAAGCCTGTTTGCACCAGGTTTATTCAGCGTCCTCTTCTGCTTTCTGCAGCAATGAACGTCCCGCATGAAATCGGCCTGCTGGTGGAGGAGATGCAGCGGCTTGGCAGTAAAAGTGAGTCACACCGGGCCCGGCTCTCTGCATCGAACTTATCAGACATTTAAAAAACAGTAGGGCTTTGTCAGGCTGCCTCCACAATATTTCAGCTGATGTCTCAGCATGTCTCAGCCTGGTGTTACTGCCTCGGGCTGAAAAATGATGGGTCGTTGGAGTTAAGAGGCCTCTGTAATCTGTCTTTAACTCCTAAGTGAGTTTATTGTTTTCTTTCTTAACTCTACGTATGCTCAAGTTTTCTATCTAAACTTTACAAATCACTGTCAGAGCACTTATATCTATAAATGACTCGTCTTCCCATCATTTGTTCTGCTAACTGATCTGAGTTTATCTCTGATTCCAGATGCTAACGGCCAAACTAGCGTGAAGTTCGGGGTCTTATTCAACGACGACCGCTGCGCCAACATCTTCGAGGCGTTGGTGGGCACCCTGCGGGCGGCCAAGAAGAAGAAAGTGGTGGACTTCCAGGGCGAGCTGCTCCTGCAGGGCGTCCACGACAATGTGGAAATCGTCCTGCTGCAGGACTGAGCCCGGGGCCGCCCCGTTTATTTTCTCAGGCTCGGTATCAAAAATAAAACCCCATAACCAGTCAGATCGGAGCTGACCGGTACCCTTCCAGGCCTGGGGAACGCGTATGCTTGTAATTTGATTTTTGTCGTGCCAAGTTTTTCTTACTGCCTATGGCTATCATGTTGTTAGCAGCTTCTGATTGATCACGTCCAAAGGCCCTTCTCACGTTATCGGACATTCTGCGGTGGAGGCTTTGAACCCTCCGCTCTGAGAAAGCCGGTGTGAATAGCACAGGTGATTCACTGGAAAGTTCACAGCGAATGTTTGTGCGTGTGCTGAACACAGCTGCTGCCGTCCGGTGTGCGGCTCTCCATTTGCAGAAACGCTTATTAACACGCAAACAGCCATTTTTACGCCTTCAAATGAGTCTTTTCAGCCAAGCTGTGTCCCTCAAATATTTCCGTTTATTACCAGCCCACTTCCAAAAGACGTTCCAGTTTCAAATGACATAAAGGTGTGTTTTTAATCTTCTTTTTACCTCTTGGAAGCTGCAGGTTTTAGGAACTGCAAGTTTCATACGTGGGTCTTTTAAGATTGTCCGTGCATGGATCGGGGGTGTGATATCCTGACCGCTACCGCGGGTCAGATGACTGTCTTTACACTTTTTCAGCACAGCAACTTCAGTGGCGGTCGTCACGCTTTTGCTCTTTCGCCCAAAGCCGCACCGGTTCTGGCTTCCCACTCTCTTTAAAAGCGGGTATTCTGACGGGCCTTACTCCAACAGAAGTCCGGTGGGCTGTGGGCTGAATGTCCGTGTGCGGCCGCCCTGTCACTGAACGGTTGCTCCAGTGTGCCGTGTTTACATGAGCCTGCTACCTCTTTTGGACTGTAACAAGACCTTTTATTCGTCCTTTACGAGACAAAGAAAGTGTACCTCTTGTAGTTTCTTTGTATTCATCGCAACGTGCTAAAGGGGTTTATATTCCGACTTTCTAAGTGTGACCAGTGATGAGTTTCATCTGCTGAACAAACTCCAAAAATGGCCTTCCTGTTAGGAACACCTGGTGGAAAAAATTGCGAATGTATTATCATTTTCATTTTATTTGAATTTTTTTGGTGCAATTATTGGTGTGTAATTACAGGGTGATCGGTGTCGTGCAAAACTGAATTTCTAATGATTCTCAGGACCAAATTCACGCAACCAAAATATGTCCTAGATTAGTTTCTTTCTTTCTTTTTATTACTTTTGATTCTAATTAGTATTTAAAAATATTCTGTCCTGTAAAATCTGTACTGTAAGTCTGATGAAACTTGCAGATCAGGCATGACCACTTACCTGTAAGTCCAAATATCAAAACTAATCACTTAAATGTGATTTTTTTTTTTTCCTTTTGAAAGACTTGTTTGATAATAGGATTCAATAGACGAGCACATCCATCTATATGGAGGCTAAAGGCTGACTAATTTATTGATGACATAATATGTAAGTGTGTAATAGACGTTTAACTTTGGTCAGTTAAATCAAATATTATGGTCTTTCTTTGTTCACAGACATTTTTGAGGCGCTTTCTAATTTTTTTGGCTCTCTGACAAAACTTTGCTGTTTATTCATCTAACCGTGTAAGGAGGGGAAACATATCTGCGTCCAATCAGAAGCTGATTCGTCTCCTCCTAAATATCATGAAAAATGTGGATTTCATTTCATTTCATTGGCACATTTCCAAAATATTGGGCTAAGATATTAAATATATTTTTAATGGACACTTAATTTACAATGAATGAATCGTGAATTCTATCTTCTGACTACATATCTTCCTAAATGTTTAAAGCACAGTATTATAAGAACTAATAGTTCCTGCTAGGGGGGGGAAAACAGAAACAAAAGAACTGAATGGCCGTAACGCGCATTTATTCTCAACTGTAACTTAATTAAAATATGTTTAATGGTCATATTTTGGAAATGATATCTCAAATTGTTTATCTAGCCTTCCATTTTCTGCTTTTGTTAGCATATACTGAGCATTAGCTTCCTATAGAGCATGCCATGAGGTCTGAGACACCATGCCTGGTCCACAAGTTTGACCGGACTCATTCCCCCGCTGTCCAGTCGCCCTCACCGGTGCAGAGAGGGACACGACTGTGTTTTGTGAGACTGCGTTTTGTGTTGGCAAACGCTCCATCCTGAGAGAGCGGGGTTTTCTTTAGCTGCGGAAAACACTCAGAGGAATTAAATCTGTACACTTGAAGCCTTGAACTGCATTGTCTCTGTGTTTGTCTTAAAAGAAAACTTGTAACCACATTTGACATTAAAAATGCTTTGTAACCTGATCGGGGTTGTTCTGAATCAATGCGGGAGATGATTGTGTTGCTAAATTGAACTGGAATAACTGACTTTTTCTTGTGTCCTCTGGTTTGGTCTTGTCTGGGATGCTCTTATTTTCAGTGCAATGAGGTTCATGTTCCCAGTTTCTCCTATAATCTGTCATACTTACGAGTTTAAAATATCCCAAATAATTTAGATACAACTCATTTGTTACATCACCTCACCACACCATACCTGTAGTCAGACTGATGCTGTCATTATCTGTAAATAAGGCTGTAAACACACCAAAGTGGCAGCTTCTGCCTGTCCTGAGTGAGTCTGCTGCTGCATTTAGGTGCTGTGGGAATATCTGACATGAAATCGAAACTGTGGAAGGGTAAGCACAGACATTTCCTGGCCTCTGAAAATAGGGCCTGTGGTAATCTTGGATAAAACACAGACGTTTACAAACATTTTGTTTGATAAATCAAAAAGTATTCTCAAAGTTAAGAAAGAGCTTTTTGTAGGGGGGTGAAAAACATTCGAATAGTTTTGTGAAACTTGATTTGAGAAGGTGAGATGCAAACATCCGACAACTCTGGTGTGTTATCATGTTATCACTTATGAAAAAGTTGATGACCTTAAATGAATTGGGCTGCTCTACACATTATAAAATATTACTATTACACTAATTAATGGACTTCTAACTACTATATAGGATATATATATATGTTTGTGTGTGAGAGAGAGATTCCTGCTTTATGTTAATAATTTTGTGTAGTTTGATACATTCATGTACCCAATTAATTACTTTTGCTTTTACATATTTCGACTCATGACTTTTGTCTTGTTAGTCTTTTGGTGCTCATCACATTTCCATCATTGTCACTATCACTTACTCATTTATACAGAAGATTCTTCACCGTGCTGTTTTTTTCCCACGGTACTAAAACGCACCGTGGCTCGTTGACAGCTACTGCCGATGGGGGGGGCGTGGCTCCATGACGTCAGGGGGTGGAAGAAAACAGCAGAGCAGGAATCAAAACAAGAGACGGACACGCCTTCGCTCTTAGAGGTTACAGCTCCTTATTGTCAGTACCTGCAGCGAGGAGAAACAAACCCCCCCCTACGGCACGTCGTGCAGGGGGGGTTGGGGGGGGGGGGGGGGGGGGGGGGGGGGGTGGAAGGTGGAGGCCACCGCTGGAAAAACCGCTGCCGGAATGGCAGCCCGCAGACGCGTCAGAGCGCGTCGCTAGAGGTCGAAAAATCCGCGGCGACGTGCGGATCTGTCTCTGTTGTTTTTTTTAAAGATGCCCAACCAGAAGAGCAGCAAGGGGAAGAAGAGCAGACGCACCAACAGCAGCGGAGATGAGCAGGAAAATGGAGCCTGCGCGGCCCCCCCCGCCGCCGCCGCTGCTGCCGTTACCGCGGCGGGGGGGGGCGCGGCCGGGGCCGGGGCCGGGGCCGCCGCCCAGCCCGGGACCAGCGACCGCCCCAGCGGTAAGAGAGGGGGGAGGGGGGGGGGGGGCAGATGTAGGGGAAGTTTAGAGACCCTTACCTTCCCGCCAGGAGGGGTGGGGGGGGGAAGCCCTGGCTGCAGACGCGTGCATCCCCCCCACCCTCCCTTTTTACGCTCGTGCACGGAGAGTTTGGGGTTTTTTTGTGCCAAATTGTGCTTTTCACTGGTTGATCCGAGGCCTCGTGTTTAAATGGACTCATTTGCATGTGTACAATTCGGCTAATAGATGTTGCTGGTTTTGAAAAAGGCTGCAGCCCGGTTGCAAAATAATAAAAATGGTTGCGATCCGGGTCCGTCAGGTTGTTTAGTCTGACAGGGCCTTAGCTTTCTTTCCCGGCGCGCACCTTGTTCCACAGTTTTGTGGCCTTCTTCCTCAACAGCAATACTGACACGGCGACACCTCACCGCTCGTGCGCGCGCTCAAGTTCAACTTCATCCTGCACGAGCACACCGCCGAAAGAAGTTCGTCCCTCCATATGCTCCGCGCGCCCTCAAAAGTGCACATCAACCCCTAAAAGTGTGCCTAAAAGCACACCAAAACACCCAAAGTACAAACGCTTCATTTAACTCAGAGAAACAAAATTACATGTTGGATTCATTAACAGTCATAAAGCAATCTTACTCTTTATTCTAAAAAGCTGGAGACATGGAACGTGCATTTTCAGTCAATAACAACAACAAAAACAATCCCAAATGGATGAATTACTTATAAAAAATGAGAGTTTTCAATGTCTAAGTGCATCAGTTCTTGTCTGAAATTGTGTTAGGGCTGTTTAACTTTCAACCAAAAGAGACAGAGGGTATAAAAGGGTACCTTGGAGCTTTCGGAAACTTTATTTTCAAGAAGAATTGGGGGGCACTGTGTAAACGGTATATTCAAACCCGAGCCAAAGTTTCATCACAAAAAGCTCTTGGAAAATGGATCACATGTTGAGAGCGAGTTATTTGAATGATTCATGAACAATGTTAAATTGCTTGTGCTTAACCACCACTATGTAGCACCCCCTTCTTTTTCTGTTTCAGGGAACTGACCAGAAACTGACCAGCCTATAAGTTCTACCTTACAGCCACGCTGCAGCAGGTGGTTTCTAGCTGAAATCCGCTCAATTGAAATGAGGCCATTTTTTCTGGATTGAGCTTTTCGAACCTTTAACCTGGATTTGCGGATACCATTCGTCTGTTCTCACAGACAGTGATTTCTGGACGAGGCTCTGCCTCTCTGAGGTGCTCTTAACTTTGATCATGGCTCCACAAGCAGCGTCTAAACTTTCCTTCTTCGTCGACTTTAAAATGAGTTCCTATTAAGGTGCTAAATCTCTAACCGTTTGACACTCTGTTGTGGGTCAAATAAATCTTTCTGTTTCACATCTGACGCAGACTCTGGACTTTTGCTTGTATCGTTGTGAGTTTTGATTCCCGCTAACTCACAAAACAACCCGTAAAAACCCTCTTTTCTCATTCTTTGGTGACTTACACCGACACTGACACTTTGCCGGAAAAGGAAAGAGGAAACACCCCCCCACAAACACACACACCCCCACAGTGTGTTATCATGCACCGTGTGCCCACATTCTGCTTGATTCCCATCCAGCGTCTACAGTTGGACGGACTTGAATAGAGATGCTCAGAGGCTCTGTTTGTTGATTCCATACAAGACCCTAAAAAGGACTCTTTGAACATTTTTAACCCTTTGTTGTCACCGAGGTTGCGTTAAAGAAATGGCTTTAAAGCCTCTCCTTTCCTCTCAGGTCTGAAATGGAAAGGCATCACAGCTTTAAGTAGTGATGGAGTCATGTCAGCAAAATCCCAAACAGTGTGTCATCAGCTCCAGCTGCAGCCCCCTCATGACCCAGATGGATGGATGGACATCAGCTGGATCCAGATTCTCGAATTTAGCAGTTTTCTTCTGTGATGATTAATCGAAACAAACCTGTTGCCGATGTTGAGCATTTGAAATGATAACACTGCATGAGTTCGAAATTTGATTAGAAATGGCATTAAACGGGGCAGCATGGGGGTGTGGTGGTCAGCACCATCACAGCAAGAAGGTTCTGGGTTTGAGTCCCATGGGAACCAGGACCTTTCTTTGTGTGGAGTTTGCATGTTCTTCCTGTGTCTGCATGGGTTCTCTTCCTCCCACCGTCCAAAAACCTGCATGTTAAGTTGATTGGAGATTCCAAATTGCCCCTATGAGTGAGTGTGAGTGTCCTTGTGTGTCTCTGTGTGGCCCTGCGATGGACTGGTGGACCGTCCAGGGTGTACCCCGCCCTTTGAGTACAGGGATAGGCTCCAGTCCCCCCACAACCCCATTAGGGATGGATGGACGACATTAATCAATTGAAAAACGTGTTTCCCGCTTCTCAATGCTAACTCAACCGCAAGCTAGTGAGGAACGCCGGGTTCTTCTGCTAGCGCTGTGTTCAGGGCCTACAGCTCAGGGAGATCCCCGGAAAGCGTTTAACGGGCGATGTCATGGGGCGTATCAGCGTTGTGTATCTGCTGGCTGCCCTTCTCCTGAGGAGCAAAGAAAGCTTTTATTAATTGAACAGAATTTAGAGTGATGTATGCTGCCGATGTATTGCCCAGTGAGACATGCTGAAATATGCTGCCTTCCACACAGCTAACACCTTGATCACGTTTGATGCACCGAAAAAGAAAAACTCAAGAGAGCAGGTATAAATAATGGAAACCACAGAAGCATATATTTTCTCAGTGTCTCAGGGTCAAAACGTGATACTAGAAAAAAAAACATATTAAACCGCTTGTTGTAGAAATTCTATTTTAAAGCAAAAGTCTGATTGTGGGAGTTGTGTCACCGGGATGAGCCTGACCGTCGTCTTCTCTCTGCTGTCCGTGCAGAGGTCCAGTGCGCCACTCCTCTGGGCTGCAGCCTGGGCCGGCCCATCCACCTGGAGAAGGACGACTACCAGCGGGTGCTGTGCAACAACGAGCTCTGCGCCTTCGGCAACTGGATGCACCTGCAGTGCTTCTACGAGTGGGAGAGCTCCATCCTGGTCCAGTTCAACTGCATCGGGCGCGCCCGCTCCTGGAACGAGAAGCAGTGCCGGCAGAACATGTGGACCAAGAAGGGCTACGACCTGGCCTTCAGGTTCTGCTCCTGCCGCTGCGGCCAGGGCCACCTGAAGAAGGACACCGACTGGTACCAGGTCAAGCGCATGCAGGACGAGCGCAAGAAGAAGCCCTCGGAGAGGAGCGCCTCCGGCCGGACCGGGGCCGGGGGGGCGGCCGGAGGCTCCAGGGAGGGGCTCTTCGAGGAGCCCCGGAAGAGCAAACCCACCGGAGGGCCGGGTGGGGTCAAGCCAGCTCACCGGGCGTCCAGCCAGGATCTGCCCCGCAGGCACTCGGTGGACCGGCAGAACTCGGCGGAGAGGGGGGGCGCTTTGGGAGGGGGACACGCGCCCGGGGGGCCTTTCCCTCTCGGGCCCTCTCAGAAATCTCCGTGCGACTCCCCGGGACAGTCCCCCCCGACCAGCTTTACCTTTTCCCAAAGTCCCTCCCTGGGTCCGGCGGGCGGGGCGGCCGGCCTGCGGGGGTCCCGGCAGCTGGGGGAGTTCCTCAAGTCGGCCGTCCACATGGACCCGCAGAGGAAGCAGCTGCTGATGGGGGGGGCTCTGGGTCGGGGGGGCGGCTGCTCTTTCGGGGGCTCCGGCGGTGGGGGCGGGCCTCACCTGGACCCCGGCTCCGTCCTGCCCCTCCAGCTGTCCTTCGCCCTGCCGCTCCACCACCGGCTCGCCGCCGGGGGGGGCGGCGGCGGCGGGGGGGGGGAGGCGGCCCACCCGCACCCGGTGCAGTTCCTGAGGCGGCTGGACCTCTCGGAGCTCCTCACCCACGTCCCCCGCCACAAACTCAACACCTACCACGTCCGCATGGAGGACGACGCCCAGGCCGGCCAGGGGGAGGAGCTGCGCAGGTGAGGCCTCCGGGAGACGGAGCTCCACCCGTCTGATGTGGTCAGAAACGAGCGTCCACTGTCTTATGGTGGTTCTGGGTTCAAACCCTGGATCTTAGGCTTCCTCCCACAGTCCAAAAATCTGCATGTTAGCTTGACTGGATATTCCAAATTACCCTTAGGAGTGAATGTGAGTGTGGGTGGTTGTGTGTCTCTGGGTGTCTCTGTGTGGCCCTGCGATAAACTGGCGGACTGTCCAGGGTCTACCCCGCCTCTCGCCCATTGACCACTGGGACAGGCTCCAGTTCTCCCCGCGACCCCATTAGGGAATAAACGGTAACGATAATACATGGATTTCTTATGGTGTCATTTTCCTTTCTCAGTTGACACAGACACGTCTCATTAAAACTGTTACCAGCTGGCGTTTGACAACAGGTGCCAATCACATGGACATATCTCACTATTATTCTTCGTGAGAAAATCCAAAGAACACTTTGCATCTCTTCGAGACCGTATTTCATCTAAATCTGACTTTCATTAGGTTTTTATTGGGATAGCTGCACATTAATATAGACATTTTTAATAGTCACTGAGCCTCCATCGCTATCTCCTCCTCTCGGGCCCTCTGTTTGCGTCTTAGCTCCGCCCACCAGCGGGGCGAGCGGAGGAGGCAAGCTGACGGGCGTTTGGCAAGATGAGACATCCTCGATGACAGCTTTGCATCTAATCATTCTTTAGTTGTAGCTTAAAGCTGCATCCTCGCTGATAGCTGCCCCAGTTGGCCTGTGCTCACTATCCTCTGGTTACATGTTAGGGATCAAAATGTCCCTTAAATAGTAGTCTGGAAAAGACTTCTGTGTCAGAAGTAGCAGAACAGTGGAGTGTAAACATATCCCTACAATGCCAAATGTATCATATTTGATACATACGGCTTCTGAAGTCTTTTGGATCTGAGACTTTTTGCATCATTCAATGGTAAAAGCTTTGCTCAAACCCCTGTTGTACACATTCAGAAATACCTGATAACAGCCAGTAGAAGACTACACGGAAATATATTTTTGACTTATTGCACGCTAATTTGATCAAAATAATTTGTTTTATTTTCTTCATATGTTGTTGAGGGGCCAAATAAAGACTTCAGACAAAAAAAAATCCAATATTCTTCCTATTTTTCTTGGATCAGGCTTTAAAGGGATATATACATACATATGCATATGAAGGTGTGCTCACTTTTTGTCAACACAGGGTAGTTTTGATAAAAAAAATATAGAAGTACGAGTTGTTACTAGATAAGAAACTGGATAAGAAATGAAAATATAGGGTCTTGTTCTTACATTTTTCTCCATCCTGAGCTATTGTCGTGTTAATACTGTGTTATTATAGTGTCGGTGAGTTTCTAAGTGCCTTTGTTGTGCTTTAGGTTTATCCTGTCTGCCCTCAGCGCCAGCCAGAGGAACGTGGTCAACTGCGCGCTGTGCCACCGCTCGCTGCCTGTGTTTGAGCAGTTTCCCCTGGTGGACGGGACGCTGTTTCTCAGCCCCTCGCGCCACGACGAGATCGAGTACGACGTTCCCTGTCACCTTCAAGGTTAGCCTTTAGGAGCCGCACGTTATAGTAAAGCAGCATCTAACACAGAACCTGGATCTTTGTGAGAGCAACAACCCATTTCATTCATTTGTCCTAATTGACCTAAATTTTCCTAATGAAATTGTAAGGAGCTGGTTTCTCTGGTCAGTTTTTCTGAAAAAAGAAAGGAACATTTTACAAGAAAACGTAACCTTTTTTTAATTTTCTGATAAATCATAGGCTGTAGTTGGGGTTTGGTAGCTCTTTTTGTGGTGCGTTCCAGTCCGATCCGAAACAAAAGGAGATCTTTCTCTTCCTGCTGGTTATCGGTGTGAGTTTGTTGTGTCAGAATTTGCCCGACTCAAATCTAATTTTTCTGCTCTAATGAAGTGGCAGCAAGGCAAAAAGAGATAAGGATTTTGATGAATTGTATCTCATCTGAAGTGACTGTAAATGAATCCCAGATTAAGAAAAAAAAACAGGTGATAGTTAGACTACGCTGTTTAAGAATCTCTATGCTCTCCTAAAACAAAGCAGCATGGGTCCTTGGGTCCACTCCCCGCGTGCGGACATGAAAGCTTCTTCACGGTCCAACATGAATGTGAATGAGCGCAGCAGCATGGCGGAGATTCTTTGATGTTTATGACCCCCCGAGCTTTGATATCTGCATCATTGATGTGCATAAGCATGAAAGAATTATTCAGTTTTCCAGCCCGCTCTGTATGTGCCAGGATGGAAACGCTGGTGAAGGAGAACCCTCAACTGTTGCACTGATAGAAAACTTGGTTTTATTACCTAATGGAAATTTTCTGTATTACTTAGTGGCCTTTGCGGTATTTGAAAAAGTTCAGTTTGAACAGCTGAATGAGGTTCTGTCCAATAAATTGCACTTTGTTAGAGGGTTTGCAATTTCAAAATGATCAACATAATAGTAATATTGATAATGTCTGATCCTCATCTGAGAGAAACTTAACAGTACAAAACAAAAAATATATTTAGTTCACTTTTAGACAAGGAAAAGCATTCTCACATTTCAGAATCGGTAACATATGATTGTTATTTATACTTGTAAATACTTACACATAATGGATACTACTTGTGCTTTGAGGATTAAGAATTATTGGTATTATAAATGGCATTCTTTAGTTTACTTGAGCATAATATGATGATTTTTAAACATAAAAAGCCATAAACTTTTGTGAAGATATAAAGTCAACTTACAGAAAATAAGTCAATGGAAAAAACTGGAATCATATTATCAATACTTATACTTTACCACAAATTTAAGTGCACTCAAAGTTATTGCTTCATCAATTCATTTTTGAGTTAGGTTAAATTCAGGTGAATGAGTGAATCCAAATTCTTGTGAGGTTTAAGTTATGTTAGATTACTTCTTTTATTAAGATGGGCTTCAGTATTTAGGGGTGTTTTCTATCCTGTAACAGAGTCATTTTGGCTGCTTTGATACGGACCTACAAAAGCTGTAGAAATGAAAACTCCAGATGTAGTCAGCTGACCGTTCCTAACTCTTCCCCCGACAGGTCGGTTGATGCACCTGTACGCCATCTGCGTGGACTGTCTGGAGGGCGTCCATAAGATCGTGTGCATCAAGTGCAAGTCGCGCTGGGACGGGAGCTGGCACCAGCTGGGCACCATGTACACCTACGACATACTGGCCGCCTCGCCCTGCTGCCAGGTACACGCCGCCATCCGCCTCAGCAGCCACAGTCGTACACAATAATAATCTCTCATACAGGAAGAACAAAACTACGGACAATGTACACAATCATACTTACTCTAATCGAGGATGAAAAACTATGAAAGTGCAAAATAATAATCACTCTTGACAAGGAAAAGGTGGAGATTCAAGACTAGGAATTCTACGGCACGGTTAAACTCAGTATTAAAGGTTGATAGGATGAAACATACATACACAAGACAAGGGGAACGCAGACTATTTAAACCAGTAAAGGGAAGGGATCACCAGGTGAACACAATCGGTGATCAGGGGAGACAATCAGACAGGTGACACACAGGGAAGTGCAAGTGTCCTGAAACAAGAGGGGATGTACTTTTCAAAAAATAAAACGGGAAATGACAAGATCAAGACATGACAAAACACCGAAAAACAAAACCCAGGCGTGAAAAAAATGAAGAACTGAGGCTGATGTCAGAAGCTTCAATCAAACAAAAGATATTCAAGCGGGTTTATTATCGGAGAGTAAAGAAATCATGGAAAGGGATTTATTTTGGGCTACTTGTATAGCTTGTATACTTGTATATCCAGCTTTGAGTGGATTTTGTAACAATTATTTTTTTATTCTTTTAGCTGAATCTACAGATTGGCCACTTATCCAACAAAGTTTGGAGTAGAAATGTGGTTTATTCTTGATCAAATTGAAACAATCGCTCAGAATAAAGAGGTCAGGATCCACTGAGATCCTCGCCGGCCACTTCTCTGACCTGACCCGTTTCCCTTCTGCCCCCC